GTAGTAGAACTACTGCCTAGCATGCCTGAAGCTCTGGAATCACTGCACAGTACTGAGGAAAAATCAAAACAAAAAGCTCTCTTTGGGCTGTATTAATCAGTTTGGTAAGCTAAAGAACAGAGGGTGTTATTGTGCAAACACTTAGAGTTTGCAGGAATTGAGGATGGAAAACAAACTACAACCCATCTTCATGGGAAAGAGGTGACAGTTCTCTCACAAGAGCAGAAACTTGCTCTTGTTTTCATAGCAACTCTATATTTCTCCGCATGTCAACTTTACTAGTTGAATTCCTCTGTTATGTTTCTTGACTGTCGCTCATATACAGGATAGATGCCTCATATAATGGCTGCTGCATCCTACTTTACAGAAAGATAAATCTCAATTTCTTTAAACTGATATTATGCTGCATCTTCTATCTATGATTTTATTTAGGATATCATAGAAGGAGAGTCTGATAGATCCAGTATCCTTAATTGAACAAGCTGACGAATCCAGTAGTTAGTAAAAATACTTATTTTGTTACTAAATTTAGTTCTTAACACATTTCCAATGTAGTGGAAATGATTGCTCTCATGACATTTATTATCCTTTAAATATGGCAATGAACATAATTTTGTCTCAGAACCGTGTTCCCCAAGGGTGTTCTGGAGAAAGTAAGTCTGTAGGACATGAATAGGCACTTCATGATCAAATAATTTAGGGAGAAATTAAAGTTAGTTGACTAGCTTAACTAACTTTAGTTAGTTAAAAGTACTCTGATTTCTTTTTTTTTTTTTTTTTGGTTTTTCTCCAGTACCGGGAACCGAACTCACGACCTTGCACTTGCCAGGCAGGAGCTTTTGCCGCTGACCTAAACCCCCAGCCCCACTCTGATTTCTTTACTACAGTACTTTTCAAATATTTTGTAAGTATCCATGTGATCTATGAGGATTGTATAATAACTTTTAAGTCACAGAGCTCAGGGTCTATCAGAAGAAATGGAGAGTTAACAGTTGTAGTTTACAGAGAGAAGAAGAGGAGGTATGAGATGAATTTGAAAAGTTACACAGGGACTATTAGACCATGTTCAAAATGTTGAAGTGTATTTTAAGAGCAATAAAAAATTGTGAAGAGTGTAGAGGAAGACATGGTCAGATTTTAGTTTTAGGATATTTATTCTGCTTGTAGTGCGAGGAGGGCACTGGAGAAAAGTACAGATGAGTGAGACGACCAGATGGGACCTACTAAGTGGTGCAGGAAGAGACCGTGGGGCTTATTCAGATTGAGAAAATGCATACACAGTATTCACAATATATTTTTAGACACACCTGGCAAGAGTTGCTGGTGCAATGGTCTAAGAGTGAAAGAAAGTGATGTATGAAGAATGATTCTTGGTTTTTATGTTGAGTGAGTAGAAAGTAGCCCTATTTCTATGACAGGGAACATTGGAGGGAGAAGCTTTGGGAGTTGAGGTGTACTATTCAGTAGTTCAGCATTGGATATGCTCAGAAGAGATGTTGAGTAAAGGAAGAAATACATGATTCTGGAGCTCAAAGAAAAGGCCTCAGGCATAGAGACCATTAAATTATTGTTTATAAGCAGGTAACAGTCATTGCACAGTTGAATACAATATAAATGTTCAGGAAATTAGTTTTTCAACTCAAGAAACCTATAAGTCCAAAATTATTGCCATAGTGATTGCACAGAGTAGTCAAATCTCAGCTGTTATTTCATTGTACTGAAACTTATCCACATAAAATATTTCATCTCTCAAAAAGCAGGTGTCCTTTGAATAAAAGATAATTCAGTTGTTTGTTTCATGCTTTTTTATTGACATTATCAATACCTGTATTCACCTTTATTTTACATAAAATCCTTTAAAAGTTGAAATAAAAGGTATTTTGAGCATTTTGTCAATGCTGAGGCTTTAAATTTTCCTAATGCATGCCTAGGGTGTAAATGAGCCACATGATGACGTCAGAGAAAGGACAGCTATATGCAGGTTGGTACTACTCTTTCTGAGGATGTGCTTTGTATGCTCTGTCAAAAAAGTTTCAGTTTGGGACAGGGCATGTTTGAAAGTTAATACCATAAATCATTTATTTTGTGTTAACACACTAGATGTAAACTTTATAAGGAGAGGAGTTTTTGTCTATTTTGTTCCTTGTTAAAATCTCAACATTTAATCAGTGTTTTGCACACAGTAGGTGTTCAAAGAGTATTTGAGGAATAAATTAATGAGTTCTATCTTCACAGTATGATGGTTAGGAAAAATAATTTGAAAACCTATGGGGGACCTGGCCAAGATGCCCAACTGCGTGTATGAGAGGCAATAAGAAACAGACAAGTAAGAAACAAATTTAGTAATGCATGAAGGGGGTTGGGAGGTCAGTCTCTCAGGACGGGCAGACACAAACACTTACTCTCATACCTCCTCTTCTTCTCTCTGTACTCTAAGCCAGCCGCTATTTATTGGTTTTATACAATGATAGGAGGGGCTAGAGGAAGATTCAAGCAGAAGACTCAGGGGGCAACGGATAATCTTGGGATGACTCAAGAGGGCAGAGATGATCCCATGCTAAGAAGGGTCTTTCCCTGGAATGTTTTTTAATCTCAGTGGTTTTAGTTTAATCTTAGTGAGTGGGACAGTTAATGAGAAATCTCAAAAGGGTGATACTTATAATCTCAAGCCTCCATTTATCCCTTAGGGAAGTATGAAAAATTAGCCATTGTGAATTTGTGGTCCCCAGCAAAAACCTAGGAAGTTAGATACCTATATTGAAAAGTATATGTGTATATATATATGATCAACATGTACCATGAACACACATGTATACACATATATTTCCAAAGCCAGATACAAACACTTTCATTTTCATGTTTTTAACCATACATCTGTACCTCCTCATTGTTAGCATATATTTGGAAATGTTCCTCTGTTTACTATGGAAAATCTATTAATTTTCATTTCCACTGGTACATGAATAGTCTCACAGATAATATCCATTTTACTTCTGATAATGCACAAGTCTTTCTTTTTATAACTAAGGCAAATGACCCAGTGTTTTACTAAATAATACATTATACTTGTTAGGGGAATCTCCTTTACATGAAATACTCATCAGAGGACCATATGACAGGAAAATTGTTCAATACAAGAGGATTATCCATTAAAAATTAATGAAACTTCTACAGTATTGCTAATGATTATGGTAAAATGCAAGAGAGATGCAACCAAAAAGCCACAGCAAAATACATTTTCAAATAATTTTCATGGAACTTTTCAAGATTAAATGTGTCAAACATCTTAAAATTACAAGCTATATGATAATGATGAGCAGATGAAAAGAACATGACTGGCTTCCAATCCTGATAGTGCTTACTATCTGTATTAGGAAAGCCAGAACTGTGGTCTGTTCAAGCATTTATTGAATTTTTACTATGGAAACAGGCTTAGATTAAGTGCAGGGTGTAAGGACAAAGAAGACTTGTTCTCTGTCATACAGAGCTTTTTATTTACAATGCTGTATTTCTCCATGTATATTTTTGTTGTATGTGTGGGGATAGAATACTCTATTGGAATTCATATAAACACAAATAATTTCAATTCAGTATGCCAGGGTATGACAGAGTGGTAGTACCATATAGGGAAACTTAGCCCAATATAGGGACAAGATGAAAGAAGGAAGAGCTGAAGCTGAGCAGAATCTTTTAAAAATTATCGCAAAAATTCATATTTTTCCTCCAAAGCTCTTTTTTCTTTATTTCATAATTTTAGAAATATTTTGAACTCACACATAAAATTATTCATATTTATAAGATATTATAATGTTTTGATACATTTCTATATTGTATAATGTTTAAATTAAGTTAAATATAGCTCCTCCCTAATCCTAGGGATAAAAGTTATCTAGAGAATGGGAACACCATTCCATGCTGAAGGAATAGCAAATGTGACCATGGTCACAAAGACCAGAAAGAAAACAGTGTGCCCTGAGGACGAACAGCAGTTCAGAGGACAGGTAGTATAGTGAAAGGTCCCACTACTGTACCTTCTGTTTGGTTTGTATTGAAAGGTTTGTTAAGTAACTACACAAGTAATTTTTGAGATCAAAGATGTACCCCTTTCACTGCAATGCATCCTTCTCCCCCTTGCTTGGATGTTGTCAGACTGGAAAGTGTTTTAAATAATTGAGAGTGGGTGGAAGGCGACATACTTAAAGAAAATATGAGAATTATGCTAAGTGCTTGGCATAAACAACCTAAAGCCCCTCATCAAATACAGTCAGTTTAATATAAAGGCCACTTTACCTTAGCCCTGTCTGTAGTAGTTCATTAGAAAAATATTATGTGGAGTCGTCTTATTGGTGTGTAAAATCAGATGGTGACTCAACAAAAGGTTATCAAGCACCTACTATGTTTTTTACATCTCTCCCGCTCCTTGCAAAACAAGGTTAATTTCGCAAATACATATTGTTGTAGTGGCTGTTTGGACTAGCTAGAAAAAAAATGAGCTTAATGAGAGTTCCTATTCTGGTGAAACCAGGTCAAAAGATTGTGTGTGTGTGTGTGTGTGTGTGTGTGTGTGTATATGTGTGGTTTCCCTGGGGAGACAAAGAGGAGAAAAACACAGGGAAGATAGTTTGAGAGCATTGGTGTGAAAAACCATGCCTCAGGGACCAAAACAAAAATACAGGTATTCGGGGAGGGGAGGCAGTTTTCAGGCCAAAATGAAAATTTCCTTGTCTACCAACAACTGTTGTTTTTCTCACATTTATTCTAGTCAGCAGAGTAAAAAAATGTGCATTCTTTCCTAGCCCTAATCTCCAAACGAAGTGAGCTACTGTACTTAACCTGGAAGATGAAGGGAACTTGTAACATTCTCGCGTAGGCTTTACATAGAATGAGTTAGCTACCTGGACACGCCACCCAAGAACTACAATACCCAGAATGCACTCTTTCCTTTTCGCCTTCTAAAGAGGAATGCCTAGTTTAATCTCCTTTGCACAAGCAATCGTCACATGACGTTTCCTGTCAAGATGGCGGATAGCCTCCCTTCGGAGTTTGATGTGATCGTAATAGGGACGGGTATGTGTGGCCCCGATACTCCTCCGACAAAGTGTAGGAAGTCTGTATTGTTGCTACCTTCTCTGTCATTGGCATGGGTTGGCAAGCAATACCGAAGATAGAGCGTGGGAGGGAGGACGGAAAGGAAGTGAGGTAGTTTGGAGTCCGCGCGGCTCTTAGCAGCTCCAGGGAGGGGCTTGGACCCGCGCTGCCTAGCGCCTTTGAGTAGGGGTCCATCTGTTCTTGGCCGATTGCTGAGGTTAGTTGCTGCGGTGATTCCTGTTAATTTCCTTAGAGGAAGGTGGGTTTAAAGTGTCAGGAATATGGAAGGTCGGGATTTTATCAGTAGAGACGCCTTTGGCAGGACATTATGGTTCTTTCCTTGTTGATTTCAAGGTGATATTCCTCATCATTTTATCTTCTCATTTTATCGAAGTTTTTCATATATGTTCGTAGGGTGCAGTGGAGCTGAGATCCAGCTTAATCTACAGCTATAAAGAAATGCTCAGTTGGTACTCGTGTGCATATTTACTTAGGGAGAGGAAACGGATTCTTTTTTATTGTGTTGGTAAGCTTAGGGAATTGTATTTCACTGTGGTAGCCATTCCTGTTCTATGATGTTGAAAGTATTTTGCTTTCTACCACCCACTTATCTACCTACAATTTAAGGTGCTAAGAACAGACCCTTGAGTTCGAATTCAGGTGTGTAACCTTATCTCCTCCCATGTTTTTCTGTCCTCCGTGATTTAGGCGAAGCCAGAAACGCCCGCTCCCACCCGCAATTTCTAGTTGACAAATTAAACGTACAGTGCATGGCAAAGGACATTTGGCAGCAAATCAGCTTTTTGTTTTTCTTAAGGATCTAAGGGATGAATTGTGAATGGGCTGATATAGGACGGTTGTGGGTAGAGTTTTCTCCTGTCTTTTGAATATGGTAGGCCAGAGAAGCTCTGGTGGATGGGACCCTGCCCATTGTGTTAACGCACTCAGTTGCTTGTCTTTCCAAATGCTAGGAGCAGCCATGTTTCCAGGATCGGAGTAAAAGTAACAGCTACCTGTTTTCAAATGTTTATTATTTCCTAATCAGTGTGCGAAGCACTTAAGCCAGATGTAATAGCGTGACAACCTGGTTAGAATAGTTAATCTCTACATTTTACAGTAGACAAAAAGGGGGGCTGGGAATCTAACTTGCCAAGGATTATACAGTTGGTTAATTTCCAAAAGCCCACTGTTCTATCCCAGAAAGAGAATCACTGTTCTGACCCTCAGAGTTCATATTTTAGTAGACATAATTGGGACATATTTTATTAGAAATAATTGGGAAAACTTAATGCTTGGCTATTAACTAGCTGTATGAATGGGAGTGCCTGGCACTTAATTTCTCAGCTCCTCAGTTTTCTTGCTTTTGAATACAAGCAGGGTATAGGCAGCTTTTAAGCTGTTGTTTAACAAAGAAATTCTCTATTGTAGTTTCACTGGGTACTTGTGTTTAGAATAGCAAAGGCATGTTTATTCCTAGTTTGAAAATAACTTCATGGATTCAGATAATGTGGTTGTAATTGCCGCGAAGGATGTTGGATGAGAACCGGAAGGAACCATTAGACTACTCATCTGTACTTCCCAGTTTATCCTAAAACTAAGAACAACATCCATTTTATAATGTGTACATTTTAAAACATACTTAAGTTTTATAGTTTTGCCTTTCTCTTTTGTTACCTAGGAACGTGGGATGTTTAAAAATTTTTCCTTTGAAACGAGCTTCTTATTTGTGTTTAAATTTCAATTGATGAGTATTCATTATTAGATGCTGCTAATGCTTATTACTTTGTAATATTTTTGCCTTCTGATGAAAATAGGAACACATCCATCCTGTTGGAGTTCTCCTGGTAAAGGTAGTAGGAACCTAAGCGATCCAGAAAATTCTATCAGAAGGCATCAGAAGTGATTTGGAGAAAGATTCATTTTAGACTTACTCTAATGAGTGTAGTATTCTCCATGTATGAGAAGAGCTTATCTGAAGTTAGTCGTAAACATTAAGTGTTTCATATTGCTTAAATATGACACATTATGGGTTTTATAAAGCACGTTGCTTAAATTTATGATATACAACTTTATTTTTACTTTATTAAAAGTGGAAAAAAATTTTTTTTGTCTTTTGGAGACAGGGTCTCACTATGCAGTTCGGGCTGGCCTTGAGCTCGCTTTGTAGCCCAGGCTAGCTTCGAACTCCAGTGATCCTCCTGCCTCAGCCTCTTGAGTGCTGGAATTATAGGCATGTGCTACCACGCCCAGTGGAAAAATTATTAAAGGCATTTCTCAAATGAAATGATTTCAACACTTTCAATCATTGCATTTAATTAGAATTATTTTTTATGTGTTTGCACTGTTTTTCTGAAATAGTTTGCTTTATTAAAATACTACTTTGAAGGAACTGTAGTGTTTCATAGTTTGTTTTATTAACAAAAGCAGAATTAATTGTGCATGTGTAAGAAACTTGAAGAAATAGACTATGAGATGTAATTTTTCCTCTTAGAACAGTTTTAGTTAGAACATTAAATGTCAGTTGCATCAAGTACAATCATTTGAGGATATGTTAAATTCCCTTTAACCTTGACTAATTTTATTCTGCTTTTCTGTAAGACAAGGTAAACATTCTATTTTCCAGAGATTATTGAAAAAATAAAATATTGAATATACTTTCTTAAGTTAAGCTGCCCATTTCCTTCTAATCAGAAAACATAGGAAATATCTCTTGAACACCCAAAGGCAGAGGAATAAGATGAAGTACTTAAACTGTGGAAAAAGGAAAAGAGAAAAGAATAAAAGGTCAGCTGGAATCTCAATAGGGAGGACAAAATGGATGTAAGTTCTAAGTGTCTAGAAAGGGACCTTCAGCTGTGGTAGACATTTTCAGAATAGTTTGCCATTTAAAAAAGTCATTTGAATGATAATTTTGTGGGCTATGAACAAGTATCTTTGGCCTCAAGTTAAAAATAATCCCAGTAATATAACATCTCACTAGAAGTAGCTTCAGTGGCAGTCTGCATTATCTGCCACAGAGCTAGGAACTTAAGAACAGGCAATATATACTTAATAAGAGCTGCGTGAAGATGTTCACATGCTTCCTACATAGAGTAATTCTTCATGTCTTCAATGAGAATATATTCATTCTTAGGAATAGTTTTAGCATGCTCAGAGTATGTTAGTACCATTGAATTTGAAGATACAGGGCATGTTGTCAACTCCTACAAAGATTCTGGGGGAGTGCTATTAGATGTGCAAGTGAAAAGGAAGAGACAATCTCCCTAAATGCAAATCTACATGAAAACAGCACAGTGGGCTAGCACCATTTAGTGTACCAAGAACCTAATCTCTTGCCTTTGTGAAGTTTTTAACTTACTGCCTTTTCTTATGGACTTTTGTACTTCCTCACAGTCAAGTCCCTAAAGCTATCTCTAAAACAATGTAGGCTTTTCACTGAACTCTACTTTTTGAAGACCATATAGAAATTCCATCAGCATCCCTTTCCTGCTTAAAACACACCACGTGCTATCTTTGAGTTTTTCTCCTGAGATGGGTTGTGGAATAAGCTAATTTATTTTATTCTTGCAGAGATAAACACACAGATCCTTTTCAAGAGTTTTATCGATAAAGTTTATGGAAAGAGAAGGGATGACAAAAATAACATGGATGCAGTTAGATAGTGGTACTGCCCCTAATTCTTGATTTCCTTGAGAGATCATGTTCAGCATAGTACAGTTATAGATGTGGTAACATGATGGATGGTAAGCATATGACCTTCCTTTATTTTATTTTTCTTTTTTTTTGTTTTTTTTTTCTGGTACCAGGAATTGAACTCATGACCTCGTGCTTGCCAGGCAGGTGCTATGCCGCTGAGCTAAATCCCCAGCCCCATGACCTTCCTGCTATGTGACTTTGGGCAAATTATACAACCACGTGGGGCATCAGTTTGCTCATCTGTAAAATGAGTTATTTGAATTAGGTTATCTCTAAGGTAGGGATTTAGCAGGTCTAATGTTACCATTAGGTGTCTCTGATTATAACTGTGTCTTTGGGAAAAATACTAATTTCTGTTTTGTATAATCTTTTTAAGAAGTCAAGTCAGTGTTTAATATGCTTTTGACATTTTTTCCAACAAAATGGCTGATTAAAAAGACTTTTTTTTGAAACAGATTAGGTGCTCTTTTTCAGAAAATTCATATAGGTAGCTCAGTCCTATTTCTTGATATTTTTGATTGAAATATTAAGGTAGTTAACTGATGGCAGCTCATTCCTTGACTATAATGCTTATGATGCTCAGTAGAGTAGCTTGCTTCTCTAGGACTTGGGGGAGAGTAATGGTGCAGGAAGTGTCCTGGTAACTGATATTTGACAAATGTCCATTTTGGCTAGACACATGTGATTTCACATAAATGTATCTCATTTAACCTCTTAGAATATCTGAGTTTATTTCTAGCATCACAGGATACATCCTGTATTTTTACGCATACATACACCTGTTGTCTAGGGCAGGCTTTTGTTTCTTTGTTTGTTTAGTTTTTCTGAGACAAAATCTTGCTGTGTAGTCCAGACTGATCTTGAACTTACTATATAATCCAGGCTGGCCTTGAATTTATGTCAATCCTCCTGCCTCAGCTTCCCAACTGCTGGGATTACAGGCATACATCACCACACCTGGTTTTTTTTTTTTTTTTAATTTCGGGATGCTACCTGTTTATGGGTCGTGTAAAGAATTCAAACTTTTTTTTTTTAAAGAGGTAGACTATGTTAGAACACATCTAGTAAGGATGAAAGTGTTTTATTTCTATAGACTCATACATACATTTTTTGCAGGGGTTGGAACAAAATTTGAAAGTTTGCAATGGAGAATATTGAACGACTGAATAACATACTGTATAGGAGTGAAAGTGGTATTTCAGAAGTCTTTTAATTTTACAAATGTGATGCCTTTCATATATTTGACTCATTTTGACAGGCATGTATCTCTTTTGCGCAGTATA